TAAGTAAAAAAAAAAATTAGTTGGGCGTGGTAGCACACACCTTGGTTCCACCTCCTTGGAAGGCTGAGGTGGAAGGATTGCCAGAGCCCAGCAGGTTGAACTGCGGTGGCCGTGAGCATGCCACCGCACTCCAGCGTAGTGAGACTCTACTCAAAAAAAAAAAAAAAGCTACTATTCAGTGAACACTTATGTGCCAGATACTGTGTGAATATTTTATGTGTATTTATCTTATGTAATATTCAAAATTAAATACTGCAAGATGTGTTTTTATTATTCCAATTTCATATTTGAGCAAACTGAGGCTCAAATAAATTAAATGACATGGTTAAGTCTCAAGCTAAATAGTAGAGCCAGGATTCCAATATGTGCTTCAAAGTTGCAGATGGCAACTGAGAGGGAGTGAGACATCCTGGTGACATGCGCCTCATTCTCCATCACAGCGTGATCTGAGTAAGCCATGGTTTCTTGTAGTGTTTGTGTCCTGTCCCTGCTGTGTTTTACTGAGTCCAGGGAGTAAACAACATTGGAACTCAGACCATGTAGCATCTCTCTCAAATAGCATGTGTTTTACTCTGTGAACTCTTTACTGATGTTTTAAAAATATCTTTTCAGGTTTTATAGCCTTTTTATCAGAGCCAGTTGTGCCAGAGCATTGTAGACATGCAAAAAATTTCCATCTCTGGTTATCTTTTGTTATTAAAAAAAAAAAAAAAAGAAAAATGCTTATTACAAGGTGGGCATGGTGGTACACTCCTGTGGTCCTAGGTACTCAGAAGGCTGAGGCTGAAAGATCACTTGAGCCTAGAAGTTAAGGTTACAGTGAGCTATGATTGCAACATAGTCAACAGAGAGAGACCCCATCTCTGGGAAAAAAACAAAACACACACACACACACACACACACACACACACACACACACACACACTATCTCCTAAAAAAATTACAGAAAATGTGTAATGCACAGAGCACAAAATAAATTAATCCCCCATAAAATCAAATATACATTTTTATTGTCAGAATAAGAATAATATAACTTTCACTTTTATTGGTATGAAAGTTCCAAAAAAAGGGCAGTATTCTTTGGTATTTGTATTTGTGTTGAAAGAAAACTTTAGGATATCTTCAGTCAAATTATTATAGAATGTTAAGATCTTAACAAAAGAGATTTTAGCAGTCACCTGGTGTAGTCTCTGATGGATCAGATCTCTTCTGCAGCTCTCCTGACAGGTGAGCCAGCTTTTGCCTAAATACCCCCATGCGTAGATACTACTCACGCCCAGGGACCACAGCCCTCTCCTCTTTGTATGCTGTGCCTACTTAATGGTCTCCTGTATTGGGCATAAAAAACTGGATTCTGACACAAAAATTGGTTTTGAAAAGTTGCTTCCGAAATTTTTAGAAGCACTGTTTTTCAAGATGAGTGTGATTTGAGACTCGAGAAAGGAAGTTAGAGGCAGGATGGCAGGCAAGATAGCACAGAAAGCTGACTTAGGCAGTAGAAACCCAGTCATTAGTACAGGCAGAACATGTGTTCTGACTTGCGAGCCACAGTTATTCTAATTGATTTCTGCATACTTGTGGATAGGGATCTGCCCTCTTCCATTTATTTTTTTCTTGACAAGTAAGATGTGAAATGTTGTTGCATGCCTTTCTAATTTAAATGTTGCACATGTCGAGAACTGATCTTGCCAGCCATTTTAAGCCTGGCCAAAAACATAACACACTGTTGTTATTAGCCTTCATCATTGGGTTAGGGCCAACGATTTGTTTAGAACTATAAAGGAGTATAAATCTCCTTATAGACATAACCTCAATCTGCCATAAAATAGATAAGATGAGAAAGCAGAGCTAGGTTTCCTTGGTGAGTTGCTTTGGTTGGTCTCTCGAGGCTAATTGGAGCAGGGATGTTCACTCTGAGAGACTTCTTGGGAATTAAGATTTCAATTTAATTTGATGTTTTTTGTAAATATTACCTTGACGTGCAAGGCTCTGTAGGAGGTGCAGAGTGGGGGAGGGATTTAAGATGAAGATGACAAGGTTCGTGATCTTGGGGGTCTTATGATTCAGCTGAGAAGAGACACATGGATAATGAATATAAGGAGGTCTGTGAAAAGTACACACATGCAAAGATTAGAGAGAGCTTAGCATTAAGGAGAAACAGAGCATTACCTTACAGCCCACGTCTGGGGCTATGGATGGTGTCCTTGAAGCCATATGCATCCTATTCAGCCTGTAGGCTGAGTAAGCCATCTGTCTCCCACACGTGTGCAGCACTATTTTTCAAATGTGTGTAGATGCCCTGGTGGCCAATGATACTTTTAAATGCATTTTTGTTTTGTGGAATTTATTGTAACTTTTTGTCATGTTGTATATTTTCAGTTGGTAGATACTACACTGATAACTCCTATCATGGGCATCTGTGAAATGTTTTTGTGTTAAAAATGGGTTAGTTATTTGAAGTTTGGAAACCATTGTCTACAGCAGTCAGTGCTGTTCAGAAGAACTTTTTGTACTAATGGAAATGTTCCCTGCATTGTCCAATACAGTATTTATAAGCCATATGCAACACCTGAGGACTTGAAATATGACTTGAAATCTGACAGAGAAATGGAATTTTTAATTTTGTTTGATATTAATTAATTTAAATTTAAGTAGCCACATGTGGTAGGAGCCACCATGTTGAGCCACTGCTCAGGGCAGAGCTATAGTATCTCTTAGTCAGTAATTTTCTGAACTGCCCACCCCGTCTGCCAAGTTTCTCTGCCCTATTTCTTACTAGTTTATTTTCTATGCACAAGGCCCACTTCTTCTCAGGTGCCCTGATTTCTGACGATTCTCTAGGCCGGGAGAAGTGTTCTTTCTTAGGTGCTTAATGAACTGATTTTGAAAGCCTTTCCTGATCATAGAAATAAAAGGAATAGTAGTTTACACTCTTTCAGCCACCAACTGATTCTCAGGGGCCTTAAAGAGATTTTGGTACCCCTAGGACACATGAGCTAGTTGTTTTCATATTTAGTTTGTTTCAAAGTTCATACAGCATGATCCTTCTTTAGAATTTGACTATTTTAAATCTTTTTTATAATCAATATTTTTATTATGATATTGTGGGGTACAGTTAAGGGTTAAGTATACAAATATGCTTCGTTCAGGCACCCTTGTTGATAAGAGGTGTCTCCCCTTCCCCAGACAGATATTTACTACCCACCTCCCTTCCCCCCCCATAGTTTCCCAACACTGACAGATATTTAATCCCACCTCCCACCTCCCTTCCCCTCCCCCCCATAGTTTCCCAACACTGCCAGTCATTTTCTTATGGTAGTACGTTGGATGATCAAGGTCCACTATATGAGTGAGAACATGTGATACTCAGATCTTTGTTTTTGTGAGAGGTCACTCAGTATTATAGACTCTAGACTGACAGTGGTGGGAAACTATGCGGGGGGAGGGGAAGGGAGGTAGGATTAATGGTAGTAAATATCTGTCTAGGGAAGGGGAGACACCTCTTATCAACAAGGGTGCCTGAACGAAGCATATTTGTATACCTAACCCTTAACTGTACTCCACAATATCATAATAAAAAATACTGATTATAAAAATCTTGAGGATCTTATGATTTAGCTGAGAAGAAAGACACATGGATAAGAAAGACCAGCCTGGAAAGGGTCCTACTATTGCAAGCCTTCCTCTCCCATCTATTCCCCATGTGTCAACTCTGTGTCTCCCTCTCACTTCCCTACTCTTCCTGCTTTGAGACCAGAACTGGAGGTTTCTTCACTTGTCAGATCCAGAGGGAGGAAGGTTTTGACTGCTGAGCCAGGATGCCCGACTGTGTTCTCCCGATTTCTTCTGGGCGTTACACCCCAGCGCCAATGTGCCAACAGGAGAGGAAGCTTCTGGGCAACTGGGTGATGCCTCAGCCAGATGACAATGAATCATTGGTTGTGTGTCACCATCTTCATGCTGTGCATTGGGACTCTTCCACCCTTCAGCCTCGCTCATGAATCGCCACTGACAAAAAAACCCACAAGCAGTTACTTCTGATATTAAAATATTTGAACACCTCTTCTCATAACCTGCCTTTTGCTGTGTGCATTCCTCCTTCGTCTGCTATTCTCTCTTTCGAAGGAGATGCCTGGGCTGTTGTGACGGTGGTATTGGTGGTTGGGTGCGTGTGTGTGTCAGGATGGACCAGGGATGGCAGGTAAGGAGTGAAGCACAGAGAGACTGCCAGACAGCAAAGAAGAGGTGACAATTCCAATTCTAAAATACTTTCCTAAACATGCCTCCCTTTCTATTCTATACTAAAACAAAAGGAAAATGGGAATTTGGATATTCTTCCACCCCCAGGATATGCATCTGGCTTTTTACTCCCACTCCCTTTGCAGAAGACAGCAACAGAGAAGCATAAGCTCCTTAGGACGGGTCTAGCAGAACATTACAGTCTGGGATTTGTACTGCACCCCTCCCTCGAATCTTCCTGTGCTCAGGCTGCCACCCTTCCTCCCTGCAGCATCTGAACAACTGTGGGTGACTCTTTTCACAGGTCAAGGTCCTTCTTCGTGATCTATCTGCATAGAAAAAAATAATGGGCAATGCTACTCAATCTCAAATCTCTCCAGTGCAGTCGGTTTAGCCTCATAACTTCTTAACCTTCATGTGTCCTGTTCATTGTATATATTCTAATTCTGATTCCAAGAGTATACCAGATTATTATGTCTTCTGCATTTTCCTTTATGCTGTTTTACGTCTATAGATATTTCTTTGATTAGAATATCTTAACCTGAAAGCCTGTGATCTTCACCATAGGAAACCAGTACAAGGCTAATCATCTGTCAGCAAGCTTTGCATTGCTGAATGTTTTCGTAATTGCCTTCAAATGTAGGAATGAAGTTGCAGATTTGGTGAAATGGTGACTTTAGGGAAATCAACTGCTCTATTTCCATTATTGAATTCCAAATCACTATGTGTTAACACCTCTGCTCCTGCCTTTTTTATTTCAGTACCTACTAGAAATGAAAAGCTTAATCCTGCCCCCAGAGCACATCCTGAAGAGAGGAGACAGTGAAGCAATAGCATACGCATTCTTCCATCTTGCACACTGGAAGAGGGTGGAAGGGGCCTTGAATCTTTTGCATTGTACATGGGAAGGCAGTAAGTAATTTTCTTTCTTTGAAACCTATTTTTAAGAGCATGAAAAGAAGCTAAGCCTGTTTTTTCCCTGAGTGTTTATGATGAATAATGAAGATTTATATACATATAACTCCTGTTTTATGTGAGGGCCCATCACTAAGTTAATGACATAGACTTGATGTAGACAGTTAATGACGCAGACTCTCCCATTCCTCAGTGGTGGTGGATGTTACTGTGGTGATGGCATCTCCACAGCTCAAAATGGCAAGTTCATACAATAGATGGGCCAAACCTGGACTGTTCTGCAGAAGAACTCCCTACCATCCTGAAAACCCTCTTTGGAGACTCAGCAGCCCCTCAGCATCATGGTCATCTCTGGCATGGGCTAGGCTTTGTGCTAGACTCTGCCTACTTCTTGATGGATCATTTCTTGATGATTGGCTAAGAGCCAGCTGTCCGTCACTGGGACTAGATTGGCCACACACAAAGGCATGGCAGTTATATTTCAAAACAAGAGCAGTGGTCATTGAACCCTACTGTTTAGCAGGAGGTGTAGCATTCAGGTGTGAATGGATAAATGCCAGGTAGATGGATGTAGAGACAAATAATCCAGGTTCATGCTGTACAGTTACTATCACTCTGTGTAAGGAGAAGAGACTCCAGTGGTGGGTGAAACATGCTCCCTGCCTTGGAAAAGCACGTTGTCTAGTTGGGAGGAGTAACCAGCAGCATGTGGCAGATTTTTCAGAAGGGAGAGGTCTGTAGGGTGGACTGGTCATGGGTAACCTTATGAGTCAGATGAGATTTGAACCAAGCCTTGAAGAACTTGGACAGTCAGTGTCCAAGGACACTGTGTGGAGAAACAATAAGTGGTGGGGCTGTTTGGAAGAGTATAAATTAAGGGGAAAAGCCCGATGATGGATTATTGGACAACATGTACATTGACACTCTGTGAGCATGAATTTAAGCAAAACAAGTATGACATGTAGCTTGGGTTTCTTTTTCTTCTCATGGGGACACAACGATAAATGTTAGAGTCTTCTGACAAGTTTTTCCTAGTTCACCCCTACTCTGATCAACCTCACAAACAAGTGTCTTTTGATCCTTTCACTCCATGTATCTGCTTTCATTTTCATTTTGATAATCTGCTCCTCCCTTTTCCTGCCCTTCCCTAACCCAGCAGGAACCCAGGCTGGTGCAGGAAGGAAGGTGGAGAGAATAAAATGGGGTGACACTAAGACAAGCGGACAGAGATGGCACTCAAAGTTGATTGAAAATCTTTTGTTCAGTTTTGAAAATATTTCTTTAGGGAATTAATAGTGGATTTTCTTATATGACTTGATCTTTATAATTTAAAGGCTGTTGACTTAATCAGTGTTCCCACTCCTACTTAGTAGCCTGGTCAGCACCAGTGGCTGTATGTGGATATATTAAGACATCGCACACTCCACTCATGGTGCATGTGGGCATGTACAGGGTTCCCTCTGGCTTGGGCCTACTGTTGCATTTAAGGTGCTGTATCAGAAAGGAACAAAATCTGGGCATGGTGGCTCATGTCTGTAATCCCAGCACTTTGGGAGGCAGAGGCGAGAGGATTGCCTTAGCTCAGGGGTTTGAGACCAGCCTCGGCAACTTGGCAAGACCTCCTCTCTACAATTAAAAAAAAAAAAAAAATTAGCCAACCTTGGTGGCATACACCTGTAGTTCCAGCTACTTGGAAGGCTGAGGTGGAAATATCGCATAAGTTAAATCAGGGCTGCAGTAGCTGTGAGCGTGCCACTGCACTTCAAAAAAAAGAGAAAGGAGCAAAAGAAATGTGTATGTATACATGAGAAAGAAGAAAAAGCCCAGTTGGATTGAACATGAAAGGCCTTGCCTAGTGTTCCTTGTAGAAAAATTAAATGGACAAACTGACTTACCAAATATGAACATTTTTGTAGGTTGGCATCTTGGAAACAGTAACAAGTTTATCAATTGTATCTGATTGAAAAGAAAGTTACCAGTCCTATAGAAAGGTCCAAAAAAGGGGGCGGGTGAGGAGCAATAAAGCCATGGTGTTAGGGATAGGTCACTATAAAAAACAAAAATCCTAGTAGGACTAACTGGAAATTATGTTAGGAAATCAGTTATCCATGTAATCAGATAACAATGGGGGGAATACTCTGACCAGCTGGAAAGGATCCTAAGATTGAGAGAAATATGAAGTCACATGGGAACTTGCAGAATCAAGCAGGGTCATCATATGGGGGATTTAATTTCCTCAGATTAGATTGGCAGAATGCTTTTTGTGATAAGAAGCAGGGGGACACAACACAGTATGACAAGGCAATTAGGTACCGATAGAACAGGAAAATTCTGCATTTGAGCCTTACAGGCAAGCAGGACCCACTCCAGGGAAGTGTTTGTGAAAGGCAGGTAGCCATGATCCCCGCCAAAATCATTCAATTTTCAAAGAGAGCATGACATTCAATTTTAGAAAAGAGAACTGTGAACATGCTTACTATGGACTAAATGCTGGAGAATGCCAAGAGCCCTGAAGAGCGTTTGTACAATGGGAACTTTGCAGAGAATCTGCACTTACCTCATTTCTTATGCTCCTCCTGATAGTGTTCTGATTAGGCAGGACAGTGATAGCCATCTCAGTTTTTCAAGAGAGGAAAGAGTCATTGAGATTAGTGACTTACTGAAGGTACTGCAACCACTGTTGGTAAAGCCAGGATGTAAACCCAAGTTTACTTTTCCTTCACTCCACTGAATAGATTAAAAACACAAGGGTCAGGCACCTCAGAAATATTTGCTTGGAAGGCTACAATTTAAATTTACACAACTATGTACAAGCTAGTGTATACTTACTGCACCTCACCTCTCTCTAGTGTTTAGAAAGTTTGCCAGCCCATATAAAATTATATTTGGTTGTTCAATATTGACTTAAACATTTTACATATAGATTAAGACCAATTTTCTAAAATAAATAATATGTTTGTATACACAAAGAAAAGAAACTAGAAATAAATGTGCCTGTTTTAAAGTGGTTACTACTAAGTGGTGGATTTTTAAGTGAATTCTTTTTTTCTTCGTTTGCATTATTCAAGTTTTCTATAAAAAGCATTCATGTTTGCTACAAGCATCAATAGGTATATGCACGTACATTTGCACATATATGTGTATACATACGAGGGAGGACCTAGAAAATGGAATTTATTTATAAAAAATTGCGAATTTATTCTTACATGTTTAAACTTCTGTCACCTTTAAAGTACTCTCCATTTGATGCAATACATCTATCGAGATGCTTTTTCCACTGCTCAAAATGGTTTTTGAACATGATAGATTTTGATGCCTTTTAGTATTTCTGCCATTTTTTGTTTTATCTCTTCCACATCGGGAAAACATTTCCTTTTGAGGATTTTTTCATCCAGGGAAACAAAAAAAAACCATCTCTCAGGGTAAGATCGGGTGCGTGGGGAAGGTGGGGCATGGGGGACATGAAGTTTTGGGTCAAAAACTGCTGAACTCACTCATTGCAGTGGGCGGGTGTGTTGTCAGTGGAAGAACCTGTCACCTGTTTGCCACAACTCAAGACGTTTATTCTGCCAATTGTGACACACCCTTCTCAAAACTTCCAGATTAAAACTTTGGTTGACTGTTTGATCCTGAGGAACAAATTCCAAGTATACTACAAGGGGGTCTGCCCTCCAAAAGATAATTCTGGTTTTTTGGGGGGAGGGTCTCCCCTCATATATTTAGAAAAAAAAATCTTTTATTACAAATGCTTTTGGTCCTTTTTAAAAGCAAAGGTTTAAATCTGTCATGCAATTTAGAGGAAATAATTACACTCCAGCCCCAGACGATTGTATACAGGCTTTTGACTTCACTTCTTAATCTCTGTTCATTCTAAGATTAAATGGAGGTTCAGAGCTCTGGATTTTAAATTAGAGGACTTGGATTAGAATTCTAGCTCAGCTGCTTGTAGCGGCATTTTGCCTAATTTATCTGCTTTCTGGAAACTGAAGTACTGAGGCTGTTGAATGCCACACCCTGCCCGCCCAGGGTGGTGTCTTCAGGGTAGTTGCCACAGCTCCTCTCAGGGCTGCTGGCCTTGCTTGGGCAGCCAGGGCCTGAGCAGAGGAGGCTGCACTTCCCCCAGTGCACCACTTGGTGGTGCCTTTTGACATCTCCAGCCGCCAAATTTAGGCTTTCTCCTTTGAATCATTTTTTTCTTCGTTCTGAAATTTAAGGTCTTTCCTCAACTCCCTTCCAACTTTTCTTTTTCGTTAGAAAGAAGATTCAAAGAGGAAGGTAATAGCACCTAATTTTATCGGGTTCCATGTTAAAAATGATAGTCAGTTTATATTTTGGAGATTAAAAAAAAAATCTTAGTTCTGCCAAAAGTGTTGGTTGGAGGGCAGGAGCAGAGGTGTATTCTATTTTGCATTTTGATGAATTTTTTTATGTTGGAGCATTAGTCATCCTTAATTAGTGGAATTAAGTGAGTTTTCCACCAATCAAGCTGATAAAACTCCCACTTTTGATAAAACCCCAAAGTCCAGCTGATGTATGGCAGAGATTGTTTGAGTTTGAAACATATGGTGGTTTAAAAAAAAAAAAAAACCTGAATCCTCAACCACAAATACATCAGCATTTCAAAGGTTTCCAAAATGTTTGATTCATCACTGTCCCAGCCCCTGAAATTACACAATATGTTCCTCAAAGTCAAGATAATTAAGAAAGGACAAAAGTTTTAATTTACAAGATTGTATTAATGTGTTTCTTAGTTTATTACACAGGTGTCACCTTATCTGAATTATACTTATTTTAAACACTGTAGGTCCTGGCTATCCTCACACAGGCACCCCCACAAGTATGAGCTGAATATAAAAGACATATAGACATTAAAGGTCTTATTTGAACTGCTTCTTATTTACAAGGGTATAGCGTCTTAGGGGGCTCTATTTTAAAGGCACATCTTATGGTTTACCTGTATGAATACTGATGTGGTAAGGATAAGTCATCCTCCTACC